AAGAACTATATTTTTATAAATTCATGACTAGCAAATTCACTACATGTTATCAAACATTCAACTAAAATATGACTTAAAGATATATAGGATGTGAGTTTTTTGCACTTTTTTTCATTTTTCATATCTTTGGTTCAAGTTTGTTTGGTCATCTTAGAGAGGAATTCATTAGATTAATTTTTTTGCCATCTTTTGAAAAAGATGCTGAAACGATGTTTTGAACAAGCATCAAATTGAATTTCAAAATAAAAAAAACCATTCCAATTCTTCATAATTATTTTAGCAAAGAGGTTTTTTACAAAACTGATTTGGTTATAATTTTTTTGAAAAGAGCTAAGGGATCACTTATAAGGGTCAATAAATTTTGAAAGAGTACAAATTATCTCCTAGAATCTTCCATGACATATCTTGGGGTTCGACTATTTTTATCATTATATTTATCCAATCATGAACAATAATAAACTGTCAAGTTATTACTTTCACAAAAAAATGTATTGATTTTAAACTAAGAATGAAAATACATATTTCATTAAAAAAAATCATATCATGCTAAAACAAAATACAAAATGAAAGTTTTTTATAACAAAAAGATTGGCAAATGCCCCAACCTTTTATTAGATCAGATTCCTTAGTAACATTTGTATCTTGTCAATGTTTATCAACCATTTGTTATGATGAAGATCAGTGACAAAATGATAGGTGACATTATCCTTTACAAAATTAACTTGTCTTTTGCTCTCTAGCTTCCGGACATGATACATAAAATTCTTATAGTTTTTAATTAAGTGGTTAAGGATCCCATTATGATATTCAAATCACTCATTTGTATTATACTGCTTAGGGAATAATGATTGCATAGGATCTCATGGAGTTTGTTTAATATGTTCAATGTTTAAAAGATGTCAGTGAACATCTTTGAGTGATAGAGATATATTAATATTTGAAAAAGATGTTTAAGTGGTTAATGATGTGAAATGGGTGATGTCCAAGGTGGTTGAATATGATGTTGAGATAAGAAATGATTTTGATATGTATTCGCTTTATGAGATCCTTTTTTCTATTTCTCCTCTAACATAACATCAAACCTTACCACCAGATTCCTGATCCATTCCCATTTTAAATATTGCTCGACTCTTTCTATGATACTTGCTTACCTTTATAAAATAGGTTGATAAATCAATCAAGTAGCCACAGTACAAAGTTTTTAAAGTGTTAATGAAGGTGATAGTGAGCTTGTTTTCAAATACATATGGATAAGTCTGTTTTGTGTTGTTATTTTGTGTAACAAAATGAACATGCCAATACTACTTTGGATATACAAGTTTTTTTTACTATAAATGGTGAGGTTTGGCGAATCATAGTTCATGGGCTAGATAATTTGCTTAGGACTACACTTGGATTAGCAGAGAGAGACTGCAATAGTTTGATGTTGATTTTTTAAAGTATTATGAGAGCCACATGGAGGTATAGTTGATAAAGTCGAGTTTTTCCAAACTCGAGAGAAGTAATAAGGACACTAAATCTGAGATGCAATTCACACATGTGTATGTTCGAGGATGACGAAGTATAGCCAAATCCATCACTTTTTAGGTGAGAGATTGGACTAACCATGTTATTAGGCTTCATTTGATTTAATTACTAGGCTTGATGTTATTTTATTTTGGTTTTCATTTTATGTCTTTGGCCCAGTTACTGGTTATGTAAGTTTTTACTATTTATATATGTTTTTTTCACATTATAAATAACTTATTGATAAATTAAAGAAAAATTATAGAGTTATGATTCTCTTTTTTGTCTTTTTTTCTCCTTTTCTTTTATTCTCCTATTTCTTTTCTTCTTTTTTCTTTTTATTTC